AACCCTCCAGGGGAAGAAATTTCTCCTGGCATTAGGCTGTCTACACACAGATAACTGCCCATGAAAATTGTTCTGGGCAAGAATATACCACCTAGGCAACACCTGAAAAGGTTTGGGATCTTCACACCTGGAAGATGAACATCTCGGCACCAACACTGTTCTATTTTACCTTTATCCCATCCCATCCCTTGTGGGATTCATGGTTTGGGGTTTGTTTTTTTTTAAAGAAACACTGAAGTGATGACACGGCTCCTTTTGGCAACCAGGTTTTAATAGAAACATAAAATACAACTTCTCCCATAAATATTTTATATAGACACATAAACACTGACAATACTTGAACCCACAATGTTCTTTTACCTTTATCCCATCCCATCCCTTGTGGGTTTCATTGGTTTGGGGTTTGTTTTTTTTTTAAAGAAACACTGAAGAGATGACACGGCTCCTTTTGGCAACCAGGTTTTAATAGAAACATAAAATACAACTTCTCCCATAAATATTTTATATAGACACATGACAATACTCGAACCCACAATGTTCCAAAGCTCCAGTTCTGCTCAAATAGTGCAAGACAGAAAAAAAAAACAACAAAAAACAAGAAATCATCAGTACAGGGAGAATGGAAATGTGAGGTTTCTAAACCATAAATAATCAGACTATTTCTCTTGTGTCCTTAGAGCTGAGTGCCTCGACATGTTCACCAGCTGTGGAGGTCACTGTGAGGGATCCAACCCTGATCCTGTCCCACACAGGAGGGATCACACCAGCCCCTCTGGAACCCAAGCTAAAGATGCTCTGGAGAGATTCCCTGCTAGGGCTGTCAGTTGCTGGCGTGATGCTGTTGGGTGATTATCTGTCTTTTATTTGATTGATTTTGCATTTAGGTTGTACAGCAGCCTGTTTGTTGTTAATTAGAAGCACAGAACCTCAAGGGCAATACATCTCAACCCCAAGTCCAGACTCTTTCTTAACTTGCTACAGCTATCAGGAGGTAACTTCACTAAACCACTTCAGAAACAGTGGAGTTCAGATTCTCTGTTTCTCAGGCTAATTCACAAGCCAAAAGCATGTACTTTGTCACTACTGCAACAACAAAGAGCCTCCTCACTCTCCACAAAGCAGGGGGAATAGAAGGACTTTCCCAAAGGAAAAACTAACACTGCTTTAGGCTTGAACACAGATTTGTACAAAAATAATAAAATAATAATTTAAAAAATTGCTAGACTTTAGAACACCAGCATAAATTCTCTAGTTCTTCCTTTGTTGTTTGACAGATTTGGCTCCCCAGCTCTGTGCCAGCAGTGCTCAGGGGGACAGGCAGGATGTGTCCCATGCACTCAGGTCACCAAGGGCAGGAGGGACAGCAACAGAAAAGAAGCTCTTTGTATTTAGGATCTGACAAATGCTGTGCCCACGTGCCCGAGAGCAAGGGGCAGCAGAGGGAATGTGATGGCTTCTCAGTCATGGTGTGGAATGGTCTGATGCAGGGCTCTCCCACTGACCAGCAGATGTGCCCAGGGGACCCTCCACCACCCCTCCTGGAGGCTCCTGTGCTGTGCAGGGTCACTCTGCCCTCGCAGGAGGGCTGAGGCCAAAAGCAGGCAGCACCTCCCAAGCCTCCAGCCCGTCCCTTTACACTTCACTCAGTCTTAACTTGTCACCAAACCTTCTTGGACCCAGAACTGGGTAAAGAACATCTTGTACAGCCCACATCCCATCTATCTCGTGCTCAAGAGGTTGCTCTAGAAGGCAGTGAGAGAACAAAGCACACCTTAAATGTTATGAACAACGAGTAGGTAGCACTGGTTGTTCATCAGCTACAGTGTCATGTCCTTGTATTCAGAGAGACCTGCTCTGTCTCTGAAATGAACTGTGATAAATTTCAGGAACCAGAAGCCCGAGGTGTGTTCTTGGCAAGGCACACCAGCAGGGCTGCAGAGGCCCAGCCCAGCCAGCCAGGAGAGGCACAGGTGAAGAGGGGAGCAGGCTGTACCCCAAGGTGGGACAGCACACACAGTGAGGGCTGAACAACAAAGTGGGGACGAGGAAGAAGGCACAGTGGAGGGAAAATGTGTATTTATCTCTCAGCCTAGACTCAGGAATACTGAAATGTGGACTACCTGCTGTGAGATGATCAGCTGGAAAAACTGTAAAAGGTCTGTGTGGAGCCCAAAAAGAATTAAAGTTCCCTGCCCAACACTCAGATTTTGGAGAAAGCATACAGAAAAAAAGCAGCTTTTTCTTTCCAAACCCAACGACACTCCACATGCAACCAGCAGCAGCTCTGATGGGAAATCTGAAGTGTATCTCTATCTGCTTCCATTATACATTGATGCATTATGAGCTATGACCCTAAAAGCTACACCTAAGGATCAGCTTGCACTGAGGGTGTTGATTGGGGATTAAGAAATGAACAGGAAGCCAATAAGTCTCTAGTGCAATTGGGTAAAACAAAAAATAACAATACTTGAGTGTTCCTGATATAGTCAGACCAGCAGGAAAAATGTTTTACAGAGAATAAGTAGAACTTTGGTAGCAATCAACTCTAAAGTGCTTTATGCTTCTTAGCTGCTGTGCAAATGCTGAGGCAGCAGCACGTTTCAAGAGTACCAAGATGCCCAATTACCTCAGCTCCCTTCTCCACCACCACACATGGCACAGCCACGATGACAGACCGTGTCCCCAGCTTGCCTGCAGCACTTCAGTTCTCTTCCACCTGCTCCAAGAGACACGTCCAGTCTCCCTCTGTGGCCTGCAACACTCCCTGGTGAGAGCCAGGCGTGCGAGGAAGGAGGATCCACGTCAGAGGGTGGGTCGTGGTGGCCACGGGCCAGCAAGCAACAGGCTGGCAGGTTCTGCAATCAGCATAATCCTCTGTGGAACTGGGAGCTTCCTAGCGCCAGTGGATGACAGCAAGCAGGAGTGGGGCTGGTCTCTCGTGCCATCAGTCAGGATTTCAAGCCCATCCTCTCCATCATCTGCTCGTACACCGTCCAGGCCATCGCCGCCATCAGCGTGCGCCGCAGGGCCCGCGGCACCCCGCCCCGGAAGAAGCCAACCAACCCAAAATCCTGCAAGGGAGAGAAACCACAGCCTGCCTCCAGCCCTCTGACCTCCTGTCACTCAGCACAGACCCAGGCCAGCTTCTGAAAGACCCTGGGTTAAAGAGCGTTTAATGCCGAGGAAAAACCTGCAGCGCTGTGAGACTGAAGGGCCACCCAGGGAAGCAGAGGAGGAGGTGCAAGGATGAGGACAATGCATGTGGAAAGCCACAGTGCAGCCCAGCAGAGAGAAGACAAGGGGGTAACCCTGTCAAGAACTCCAGGAAAATGACCTGTCTTTGTTTTAGAGCTTCGTATTTACAAAAGTCCCATCGTTAATCTGTAAAATCAGAGTACTGAAGTAATAAAACATTCTGATATGAGAAAAATGTACCATGCACAAAAAATCACCTTGTAGATGAAGGCAACAGCCTGGCTGGTCCTGCGGTACTTCTGGGGGCTCAGCTGCATGTGTGTTTTGATGACATCAGCAGGTTGTGTCACCAGCGAGGCCAAAATTCCAGCAAAGATCCCACAGCCAAAATTCAGCATGGGCAGGAGCACAGGATCCAGCTGGTCTGCGACAGAGCAAAGGGCATCAACTGGGACACAGAACAGGCCACAACACCCCCGCTGCAGGACACAGGGAAAAGCTACCGATGGATGGAGAGAATTTAACATCCATGCAGGTGGAGAAACCCTCCCAGGGGAAAAGCAGCTACTAGTCCAAAGTTAGGGCTATTAAAAAGCTTCACGTGCTGGGGAACTGAATTTGGCAGGAACTCAGAAAAGGCAAGGCTGCAGCAGTGTTGCCCCAGCCAGTTCCAACACCAGAGAAGCCCCAGCTTAGTGGGAAGTGGTCAGCAGCCAAGCTCAACCAGCAGCAGGAAGCCCTGCTGAAGACATCCTCTTTCTCTCAGCTGTTCACTAACCCACTTATTTTATACATCTATATATAAAACATATATATAACATCATTCTTCATAAAGACAATCCATCAATTTAGGGCAAATTTCCATTTCTCCACTGACCCGAGTTATAAGTGTACAGCTCTCCCTGGGAAAATGTGACGGACCCCCCCCAAAACCCTACAACAGACTAACACAGCTACTGAGGTAGAGCAACGAGCAGAGCATGGAAGACACCAGGAGAGCAGCCCCCCCTGCAGCCTTACCCTGGGGGGTGAGCCCCTTGGCCTGCGTGTAGAACATGAGGTAGATGCCGGAGAAGGGCGCGTCGCGTAGCAGCGTGGCCGTGAGCCCGCTGAACATCCCCCGGGCCCCTTCTGTCTGGTAGATGTTCTTCAGGGCCCCCAACACGCTCCCGTAGCCAAACCTTCCACTCTGCCAGGGGACACCACCACCAGTCACCTCGGGGCCAGGCTTGGAGCCTGAGGCACAACCCGAGGCCACGGCGCCCAGACAAAGGGGTTCCACCCACCTCGGGCTTTACACGGTCCTTCAGGAGGGGAAAACATGAAAGGGGCTACACACGCCTTGCACCTCAACATCTCAGGGGTGAATTCTCTTTCACCTGACACTTCTTGCCTAAATAACAGGGATTTGTTTCCTGCACATCAGGACTCCATCCCTGGCTGTCCCCACGTGGCAGCAACCCCCAGGCAGAAGGATCTCCATCATGAGGAAGGTGTGTGGCACCATTAAGTACCTAGAAGGTGACACTCACCTCGTATCGGGTCTTCACCACGGTCACTGGCAGCATGCAAACCCCAGAGATGGCACGTGCAGTGGCCCCCAAAAAGACAGATTCCAGGGCTGTGGGTGAACGGTCCACTAGAAGCTGTTGCTTCATCACGTACAAAGTGCTGAAGTAAATCCCAACCCCAGGGATGCATCTTGCAAAGGACTTCAGAAGAGAGAGAAGCAGATGAAGAAAGAAAAAGCATAGATAAAATAAAATGTATTACAGAACATTTCAGAGACTGTTAAGTTTGACAGGAAGCTTTCAAACAAACAAACAAGAAAAATCACTCAAGTTAACATGCCAAGGAAAAAAAAGACAAGGTAAAAAACATTCATGGCCCTGAGAGTGAAACCTTAAAATGGGGTTTAACCTAAATCACATGGTTTCATTCACAACTGTACAAGGGTTGGCTACTTAAACCCAGGCAGCCAGAGTTAGTCACAAACAGCAGGTTTATTTAATCTACTTATTTTTAGAAGCCAGGGTTCAAACAGTCCCTTACTGGAGAGACCCCTTTCCAGAGCCCCAGGAGGCTCTCGGTGCGCACAACCCTGAAGAGCAGCGTCACCATCCCAGCACGACCAGACCTGAAAGGAAGACAAGACAGGCACTGAGGGCACGACCAGCTTCTGCCCTCTGGCAGAGGTACCCCACAGCCACCCATTTCCACTTGTGTCTCACTGAGTTTAAACTAAAAAAGGGGAGATTTAAACTAGAGATAAGGAAGGAAGGCCCCTCCCCACCCAACTCAGCCTGTGATTCTGATTCTCCAGGCAGAGGATGCCCTGTGGAGCTGCAGGGCAGCCACTCCAGCCAACACCAGCCTCAGGTGAGCACAGGCTCCACCCTCTCACCCGTTCACGGCAGGCTGCAGTGTTTGCAGGCGGGTTTTCAGCAGGTCAAGGGGTTGGAAGAGGAGCGTGGAGCATGTCCCACTGATGGAGCCACACACAAAGGCCTTTAGGACTGGATGCATCTGGAAGAGGATGAAGAGCACTTCAAATGGCCGCTTAATTCAGAATGGCACAAGAGGAAATACAGCAGCTGGTGTGTCTCATTTTATAGGAAAGGAAGAGAAGCTGACCCCAGATGCTAAGGACTGCTACTCAAAGCATGAGAAACCTTTTCAGACCTTTCCAGAGCCTGACTGTGGTTTTTGGTCACGCTGCCTTTCCTGGAAGACTGTTCCAGCATCTCCCCTTGCAATTTGGTGGTTCAAAAGAGATTCCCAAACCTCAAATGTTTTAGAAGCCCTTCAGTAACTATTTGCCATGTTAAAGGAAATGGGTGCCCCCTTCCCACCACCTCAGCCCCAATCCCATCCACCTCTGCCCAACAGCAACTCCCAATTGCACAGCAAAGTCCCCACTGCCACAGGCACTACTAGAAGGCATCAAATCCACCCAAAGCACAGCACGTCCTGCTCAGCTATAGCCTGGTTTTCCTACCCACGCTGGCTGCCGGGTGATAAGGCAGGAGGCACAAACCACACTACTGGGTGATTCAATAACGGTGCTTTAATAACAAAGCTTGGAGCAGGATCAGAGGATCGCAGCGTGGTAGGGGTTGGAAGGGACCTCTGGAGATCATCTGGTACAAACCCCCTGCTCCAGCAGGTCACCCAGGGTCACATCCAGGTGGATTTGGGATCTCTCCAGAGCAGGAGACTCCACAGCCTCTCTGGGCAGCTGCTCCAGGCTCGGGCACCCTCAGGCAGGAAACCCGTTGCAGGACGGCGGTTTCGGGCGAGGCGCACTCCAACCCTTCTCCCGTGCCTTCCCTCGCCGATTTCAACCCCCTCAGAAACCCGTCACCACGCTCCGGCCGGGGAGCGCCTGCCCCGCAAGGCCCGGGCTCAACGGTATAGGGCAGGGCTCGCCTCCCAAGAGCCGGGCGGCGGCGGAACGCGCCGGAGGACGGGGAGGAAAGGGAAGGGAGGAAAGGGA